GCTTCTAAGAAAAAGGCCCATTTCAAGATTTTATTCGCTTCCTTTTCTGTCTTTTTCCTGCAGATTATTTTCCAAGATAGATTTCAAAAGCGACTGGCGTTCCAATATTACATTTGTACATATTGGCAACATGTACAATGTACATGTTGTGTAACTCAGAATTATAGATCCATAGGCCTACATTTTCCCTTATTTTAACTTTTTTGTCCATCTCTTCTCATATCCTTTCCTGAAGTTCCTTTAATGCATGAGAAGTCTTGTTATTGTTGTTGACTTGTTGTTGTTGTTCTCAATCTTGTTCTCGTCGTTCTGGTTCTTGTCGTTGTTGCTGCTGAGTTACACATGTAGTTTGATTACCTAATACTTATCAATTGTGAATACCGGTATAGTTTTTTAGTCTGCATTATTTTTTGCTTAACGTTGGGGATATTCTTGACAAGCTGATATTGAATATTTATCAATCTAGACTCAAATCTTCAATTCAAGCTCTAGTTGCAATTGGAGAGAGAGAGCCGAGAGGGAGAAAAGGGCTAATTCCAGCTTAGAAATAATTTTCACTCTGGTTTCATACATATACATAGCAACATTTGATTTACTCTTCACAAATAATCTATCACTTGGGTCTGGAAACCAATCAGGTTTTCAAGTGTATGGATACAGTACATTAGGGGACTGATTACCCTAGCTTTATACATGTACTGTAGCATCAGCTTCGTGTAGTTAGTCTGCAGAGACAGACTCTGATTTGACACTGAAACACAATTCCATTCATATAATCATTGAGCCAAGCCTATCTCTGTCAGTCTCTGGCCGTGTCAAACAAGAGCAGATAGAATGCATGACCCAAAAAAGTACAGTGGACCATGCAGTCCTGCATAATCTTGCAATTCAGACACCTCTATTACGCAATACACCTCACAAGGGTCTGCACCTCTAGACTAACAACGTCCTGCTGTACACTGTAGGGTACTACTGTAGGGTACCGTATATCAAAAGCCTATACAACGTGGACACAGCCAGAGGAGTTCCCCCAAAAGGTCACGCCTGCACTGTGGTGGTACCCAGGCAGGAAGAAATCTCTATCAACCGAATCTGACCTCTAGTCCGTCACTACACCTGTAATTTTGTCAACTCGGCTTCAATTCAAGACGTACATACACTGTATACAATTTACGTACACTGTAAGCATGTTTTGGGGAAGTTGCCTATATTTGGATTCCCATGGTCAGTCAGCGGAAGATTTATGCAGTAAGAAACGGCTGAATTAGCCCTGCTGGACGGTAATTCAATTTTAGACATGCACTCATTGAACTTGTACAGTTCGCTTCAATTTGTGGGTCGTTATTAAAGTGCATCGCGACCCTCATGCTGTTTGAATAGGTGGTATTTTTAGGGCCATTATACATGTACATTTAATTATTCAAAAAAAATTATAGAGAAGCGATGCTTTCATAAGGATTGTAACACTTGACATATTTCAAAATTTTCAACTACCGGTACTTCACTTTCAAATGAATAATCATCAGAGTATGAGATAAGGGCCCTGATTCATTAACCATTTTATCAATAACAAGTTACAATAATTGTTATAAACTACTGAAATTGTGGCATCTGATTGGCCGAGAGCAAATTTGCCATAGAAATTTAGAATTTGTTAGTGCTAACAAGTTTTATGAAACAAGACCCTGGGCTTCTCCATACAAGCTTTTAAAATCAATAGGAGAACCTAGAAGGGAAAAGTATTTTTGTTCAACAAAAAGAAAAAGAAATCAATTAAAATTTGATCATTTTAAAGAAATCTCACTTTTGCCATAGCAAATTAATTAAGAGTTAATAAGACAATAGTTGCTAACATATTAACTGAATTTGTTATTGATCAAACAAATATTTGATTTTCATCAGATTTTAAGAAGGAGAAAAAAAACATGTTGTTTTTCAGGACAGAAAAACAATGAGACCTACTTACATGTACAGTGTAAATCATTTACAGAACATGTCGGACAAACATTTACACATAATATTCATGTATCCAGGAAAAAATACTTAAGTATCCATGGAATCGTTAAAAATGTAAACTGATCTACATTTGTATTTATTCACTGCAAACAGTGCTTGAATTCAATAAAGTGGTCATGCACCTAATATTAGCACCATCTTTGTTTGATTGAATGTCAATAATACACATTTCACTGTTGACTAACCTGACATGTGATACAAATATAAATGGCAAAATGTTGACTGTTGGCTACGCTTGAATAGCATTCAAACACACAAGAAGTTAATCATTGTATCAAGGCAGACTGCTCAAACGAGCTCAAACGAGCGTATTATTTACAACCACAGCTTAACAACTAGAACTATATACATGTATTCAAAGAGTATGGCATTCTGCAACAATTTCTTTACAATTTTTTAATCACCAAATCATGAAATTCATACACCCTGCTGTAATCCATTAATCTTGCTACTGTTTTGCAAAGAATGTTATTCATTCAATACACAGTGGTTTCAGCATGAAAGCTACATGAACATGTTGTAAATGTGGCACCACGTAATTGAAACCAGGTGGACCAAACAGCTAAAATGTCCATCGAGCAATAACTTTATCCATTGAACAACCAAATTCACCTCAATGACCAACGACAGTTGCCATGCCAACTTGGCACTGCCAAGTCATCTAAAAATGAAATGTACACATGTACAGTACATGTACTATACATCTGTAGTAAACATGTGTCACAGAACAGTATCAACTTGTATTGAGTGACAATTCAATGAGTGATTCAAATTTTCTCAATAATAATGTACAATACATTATTCTGCCTACCAGGTGGTATGCACATAATGTACAACCAGTAGGCCTAATGTACATGTGCAGTACATTCGCTCATGCAGAAATAGAGTTTTCTGAATGCATGTACATTATGACAGATATTTGTAACAGAACCCATGCATACGTTCTTGTAGCTTCAGGCCCTTCAAAAGCTACATGTTCAGTATGCACATGTGTAAATGTACATGTAGCATGGGATACCCCCCCCCCCCCCCCCAAAAAAAAAAAAAAAAAAAAAAAAAAATAGGTCAACTTTTGTTTTACCTTTTTATTTCAAATCTGGTTACCAGTATTAAGTTTTGAGTAAGGACATACTGTTTTGACAAATTGACATTTCCCTTGCCTTTTTCTTTTTTTATCCTTCAATTTACGCACTGAAGCATGGCTCGCAAAAAACAAATTAAGAAATTTGTCTCCATAATGGCATGAGCATTGTACACATCTTTCTATATCACAACTCTCGATCCTTTGAAGCCCGGCACATTCTTGTGCAATCCGATTGATTTTTGTAGAAAGGGCAGTTGTATTTGATGTGGAAATCTTAAAGATAAAGACCAGTTATGGTCATGCGATTGCATTGTGAAAGAAACGTTGTGGAATCGATCAGAAAAGGTTGATCATAAGTATTGGTGTGTACTGCAAGGTTCTGGAATCATCAAAATGATAAGAAATTTGCCCCAGTCTTGGTAAAGTAACAAGCACTGTACACAGAAAGATGTATATGGGACTATGCAACACATGCGCGATATCTATCAGGTCCAAATAGATATAATAATTTACCAAATATATCAATTATAGGCAAAATTTGTATCACCACATATTTATTTAGTATTCTTTCACATGATTGGTAATACAAGCTTCCATTTCATTTTTTTGAGAGGGGGGGTGTTTCCAAACTGATCTTTACCTTCAACAACCACTATCCTTCTGCTTTAGTTTCTAAATAATAATAAGAATATTAACAAGCGGAATTTTAGTACATTTCACTCTTCTAGTCACTTTAGTCAGAATAAAAGCAGAATTGCATATAACTGCAAATTTACTTTCAAATGAATGATTTCACTAAGTGCATATTTTTATTGGTAATATACTAATATTACATGTAATGTCATATACATGTACATGTACAGTACACTGTGTAAAAAGTAAACTAATGATATTGAAAACTACAAATCTACTATTTCTGGCCAGTCATTGTACATTGTAAATGGTGGAGGCAAGAGGTTACAATGTACAAGTAAGCCTTAATTGGAGTACTGTCAAATCCTGCATTATCAAGGATCATGTCATCAAAACTCAGCTTAATAACAGCCCTATTGGATTCTATTGATTACTTCTCTTTCTGTCATAGGCCTATCATGTCCGCTACATGACGTGTATATTTCCCTGTTCTTTTATGCGAGTCACAAAAGCTCTCTCTTGCTTTTATTCTATTTCAAATATATTTTTTTTATAACTTCACTATTATTGTCAGTATAATTTGAGATTTTTTTGTGCCAGTAATTAAAGCATGTTTATTAACCACACCCTAGTGAGAGAAACCTCCTTAAATTTAAAAAAGGAATCAATTTTCTTTTAGCTATCCTAGGGCACTAGTCAGAGGTATTTTGGTTTACTTCTTTTGTCCCTGTATTTGTTTTTGGTTCAACTTTACCACGAAATTAAATAAATGATATTTTTTAATATCATTTCAGGGAGACATTGTTGGGGGTAACTCATGCATGTAATTTGCCCCCGTCATATAACAAGTACAAAAAGATGCACAATTGAGAGTTACATACAGCCAGTCATCTTGTCTTTTGAACATTAACTTTCTTACTATTTGTCCAACTCATTTCTAGCTTTCAACTCATTTTCTTATTTCCTGCTTTCACATATAGTGCAGCTTGTTCCCAATTATGTCCTTGAAATGTGGCATCCTGAAATATAGTCATCCCTCTGTGGCTTGCAACTGCATAATACCAGAGGTCCTGAAGATAGGCTTTTTCAAAACAGAAAAGTTTTTTCTTTATTCATTGGACTTTGGATCTGAATGTACAGTACACTGCCAGGGTAGTCAACAAATAAAAATTCTAACATATAAAATTGACAAAATTGTAATAAAAGAACTTTATTATCCCCCCCCCCCCCCCAAATAGTAAAGTTAATACGTGATCTTTGACCTTACCCATTTTGAAGTGCCATTTGAGGTCTGGGGCAACTGATTCCAAAAACTTCTTCCTCAGGTATCTGATAGAGCGTGTCTTGCGTCACGGTCTTATCAGAATGCAGTTCGTCAAAGTAGATGTACATCACATGCTCCCTTTCTCTCCGCATCAGCTCCAATGCACCCTTGGTTTTACCATAGAGCCCTTCGTCGCTGTCACTCGTACATTTCACCGTTATGAAAAACATTTTCCGCTTTCCGGGCACCGGGTCAAAACCGCAAAGATCCACTGTGATTTTAAAGAGACAGGCTTGATGGCCCAGGCAAAATAAGATGGGGTCGCAGCCTGTCTGGGTGAGGGGGCTTTGGTTAATGACTTGAGCTCCCGGAGCGACCATATCCATGAAATGTTGCCGAGCATTCGGGGGGCTGTTCGCCTCGCCTCGGCGTAGCCTGGCCTCGCGAGGCTCAGGCGATAATTTTTTGGCAATTTTATCCGCGATCGTGTACATCTTTGACCCCTGCTTGGAAGCCCATGGTCTATTTAAAGTCGACTGAGCAGTGTCAAAACGATACGATAACTCTGATATAAAATAACCACGGGGACATGTAAAAAAGGACCGCTGGTTTTCCTGCCATTTAAAGTTATGTTCAACAGAGTTTTTCCATGGCACCTCATGATATTTGACCATGGGAAGCTCTATAACTGGCCCATTAGCTGGTTGGGGAACAAGATGTCTTGGTCGAGTATCACCAGCCGGAGGTGGAGCTTTCGCTCCAGGTTTCTGTGCAGCCGGTAGCATCTGTCTCCCAACTCCAACTTGGGGAGGAGCGCCATTTGCTCTTTTGCCAAGCAAACCAGGCAAAAGTCCTCTTTTGTGCAAGTTAGGAAACCGTCTTTTCAAATCATCTTTTACATCTATACCCTGTCCAATACAATGTTCTACTAAAAGGCAACATAGCAAAGTCACTAACGCAAACTTCATCACTCTTCTTACTCCGCTCCGCCGCCTGAACGGCCACAGAGTTCCGGCCGAATCTTTCCCTAGGTTGTCGGGTGCACATCGTACTGCTGAGGCATCCATTTCTAGGCAACTTCTGCTTCGCTACACTTCTGCTTCAATGACGTAAAATATCCATATTTTCGATATATACATCACCCATTTATTGGTCCATAATGATCACAGGTGTATTCTTGAGTATGTTGCTATCACCTACACATCCCGTTGTGCGTTTACAGCTAAATAATCGATAATTTTTCAAGATTCGTAGGTCTTCCTGTCGCACAGTCAATAAGCTGTGTCCGGACTATTTGTGCTAGGACTGTAGCTGGCGCTATATATCTAAGAATTTTTAAATTTGCGAATTAACGTTACCGATTCTTTTATCATTAAAAAGAATGCAGGTAAAGTGAAAGTAAACAAAATTCTGATAGATATTCCAATCTCATAAGTCATGGGTCAAAGGAAGTATTGTGATTTTCATGAAAGATAATTTATGTTTTTAGAACATAACATGTCGTGAGTTTTCGGACATGCTGTCGGGTTGTAAAGGAACATTTTAATTTTATAAGAAATGACATGAAAGAATAATTTTACCTCGTACATAAAAGTTCTTGTGTAAATAGCAAGAACATAAGCATACTATAAAACTTATAAAAATAGAAGGGAATCCCCCCCCCCCCCATGAGTATGTGAAACTAAACGAAAGAAGAAATGTATGAACTCATGTATAGGCCCCTACCCCTGAAGATGTTGTAACGAGAGACACACCTGCACCACCTGCACACTGCACCCTACACATTGTATATAGTGCACGGAGAACAGCCACCATCACTTCACCAACAGCACATCACCAACAGCACGCACACAGCACAGCCCTCCAGGACAGCGTTCACGCTTTTGGGAGAGTAATTCTTCAAGATTCAAGGTTCAAGGCCTAATGGGAAGAGGAGAAGGGGACTCCGAGAATAGACAGAGATTAGAGATAGCTAAAATAAGCCATGGCATCGTTAACGGGATGGGGGGGGGGGGGGGGGGGGGCTTTGACTAACGAATTAAAATTAAAAATATCAATCGGTTCAATCTGGAAGTTGTCATCATAGTGATATCAGCAAATAAAGAATTTTGTTTGGGATGAATTTAGGGGCTAATACACTGAGTATACTCAAGATAGTATGATGACCGATACATATAGTACGTCAATAATTTACAAGACAATCAATAACTATACACTTCGAGGCGTCAGTGAACCTATTAAGACGCCAGCCGCCACTTAACTCCACATTTTTATGTCCTATATTCAAGCATTTATTATGGTCATTAATTAAAAGTGAACATTAGCAAGGGTACGTACCGTACGTGCGAGATACACAATAGCGAGAATATAGACGTGAATGCTTCCGATACTAATACGTTAATTGGTTATTGATGATCAGCAACAGATAATTTCATCATTAAATTGCAGCTTTTGTCCCGGCTTTTGTCCAAGATAATGTGGTGTACTTGAACTAATGCTTACCTGTTGGGTAATAGCAGTTTTGCTTGGAAGCTTTCATGATGTAAATTACTTTGGGTAATGATTATCGTCAATTATACAAAGGATTATAACAATAATTGAGATGATGGTAAGTACAATACATGTCTTACCACAAGTATTTGACTACTAGAGATATATTATCAAAAACACTGAGGATGTTCAATCGTCAATCAACAGTGCCTGTATAGAAAACTAAAACAACGACTCAAAAAATCGTTTAAAAAAATGCTTAACTAAACTAAAGTAAACAAACAAAACAAAGAAGAAGAAAAGAATTGAATGAAATAAAAGAAGGAAGGAAAAAAGAAAAGGGAGATATTAATGATAATCAGTCAAATTCAATCCACTATAATACATAAAGATACAGTCCTATATACCGCAACGCTCCCCCCCCCCCCCCCTCTCTCTCTCTCTCTCTCTGTCTCTCTCTCTGTCTCTCTCTCTGTCCTCCCCCCCCCCCCCCCTCTCTCTCTCTCTCTCTCTGTCCCTCTCTCTCTTTGTCTTGTCTTTCTCTCTCTCTCTTTCTTTCTCTGTCTCTGCTTCTCTCTCTCTCATCCCCCCTCTCCTCTCTCTCTCTCTCTCTCTCTTTCTTCTCTCCCTTCTCTTCTACCCCCTCTTTCACCCCTCTCTCTCCCTCTCTCTCTATATCTCTCTCTCTCTAGCATTTTAGATTTCGGCAAAATTCCAAAATTCCGGCACTACGGAGACTGACAACGAACAGAGCACGAAATTGTATTACTCGTTTTATTCTCGCTCAATACCTCTGCAAGAAAATGTTGTATAGCGCCATCACTCTACCTGTGTCGACACGATGATAAGCAGGGCAATACAATCATAATGATAAACAGTAAATTCCTTCACACAAAATGACACACTTCCTTCAAAATCTAAATGATAATAATAATAATAATAATACAATAATAATGATAACATTAATACTTATGATAATAATATTATGTTCATTTTTAAAGCGCAGCATTATCTAAAATAGCATGTCCCTAAATTATAATTTCTGGCACAATTTTTCTGTCTGTTAGAAAGAAAATGTAAGTTAAAAAAAAGAAAAGAAATCCATTCGACTATACCAACTCGTCAGTAGCGACATGATTGTTTGACGAGGGGGGTGGGGGGGGGGGGGTACAAGTCAGAACTTGTCACAGTGTTCAAAGCAAAACTGTGGCCAGACTTAATTTGGTCGGGGGAGGGGGGGCGTGCCCCATATCATATACACACTGGATCCGCCACCATTAATTCAAATTTATTTGCCTACATTGAACTAAATTTCAACTGGTCTTCATACACTAACACAAAGGTGGGAAAGATAGTGTCGATTATATACGTATAGAGCCTGCTGGTGAACCAGTGAACCAGAGCAAATGTGAACTTTGCTAATACTAGTAAATTCGCCAATTTGCAGCAACAAAAGGCCTGGATGAAAAATATAACTCCGTGCCGTAATTCACATTTTATGTGTCAGATTTATGGCTAAGCAGATGCCAAGCGCTATACCGAGTTTAGCATGGCACTGTGGAATGAAAATAGTGGTATGAAGACAAAAAGGAGCCACATGGAAATAAAATGTGTATAGAAATGAAGCTTCACCTTGGTTGCTCTTTATACGTCACAACGGGTTGATATATGGATATCAACTCACAGTGCCGACGATCTCCGACCTGAGCGGAGGAAGGATACAAGAGAGAGAGAGAGAGAGAGAGAGAGGGAGAGAGAGAGATAGCATACCGTGGTATAATTTGTATATTATTAAGGACAAACAAAACAAAACAAACAAACAAAAAACAATTACCCCCCCCCAAAAAAAAAATAAATAAAATATATATATATATATATATATATATATATATATATATATATATATATATATAAATTATATAAAACTACGATAGAGGCTTAACACCTGCGAACGCATGGGCATTGTCCCTTGTAATTTCCTACCAAATAGCGACTGAAAGAGAGAGGGGGAGAGGAGGGAGTGGGGAGCGAGAGAGAGAGAGAGAAAAAAAAGGAGCATGAATTTTGTATTTTGTATTTTTTTCTCAGCACCCGCCCCCCCCCCCCCCCCCTCCTTGAGAAAACAACAAAATTGAGGGGGGGTCGCCCCAAAACACCCCCTGTATACGCGCTTGGAAACAGGTATTGTGAGAACGGACCTAGGAGTGTGTCCCATAAACCCTCTCATTATTTTTATCCTTCTGTTCATCTATCTATGGATATTTTTGACATTTATGATTCTATACTGTAACATATTGGGCCAATAGAAATGAAAACACAATGACCTGTGATACAATTAACATTTTCACCTTTCATATAATTCTTAATTCCACTCAAGAACAAATATTTCTTACAGATGTTCCTCATCTAAGTGGACATAAATATGTCACAATAAAAATAATACTTCCGCCTTTTTTTTTTGGTGGAAGAGTCGTCAAATTGTCATCCATTTAATTATCCGATAGTGACACTTAGAATTAATATCAAATAGCTTCCTGTATTACAAAAAGTATGCTTTTATTTATCATGTTTAATTTTTTCGTATCAGTATAATGTCCAAAGGTGCACGCAATCAGATAAAAAAAAAAAATCCATATTTGTGAAATAATCGCGTAATTTCGCCACCTTTTCCTGGGACTATGTGACCGTCGTCATGTTTGATTAATATTGATAATAATAATATTCTTATACTAAAAATTACAATAATAATAATAATGATAAGAATAATAACAAAAACAATATTAATAATGATAATGACACTGATGATAATAATAAGTGATGATGATAATAATAATAATAATAATAATAACAACAATTATGATATGGAAATTGAGTTTTCAAGGTCTTCCATCCAATCCATTTATTGGACAAAATGTTGTTTTTTAAAAATAATTTTGACGTAGCAGTAAAATCTATCGACTTGAGACAGTGGCGTATCCAGCATAGGCTGAAGCTGACATGACGATGGTACGCCTCCTTATTTGAAGCCCCCCCCCCCCTTCAAAAAAAAATATATATATGTAGAGTTTCCTTTACACGAGGGGGCTACTATTAAAACGGCAAGGAATTCCACTACTGTTTATCGATTCTTGGATACGCCGCTGTGTGTAATACACTGAAAACGATTGGTCATTTCCATTTCCCATTAATCTCATCGCAATCACGACCCGACCAGGATTTCGGTCAAACAACTCAATAAATTTGTTATTTCGACCAACATTTGGACCCGAAATTATACCGACCGAGCTCTTTGCCCAAAATACCTTATCTTATGGGTAATTTTGACCAAAGTCCTGGTCAGACTCATTCTTTTTTATCTATCAATGATCGTGGTTTGAATTGACCGTTCCCTTTTAGAGTGAATTTATTTATAGCTTTGTCGGTCACTTCTAACAGAGACTGTAATTCAGTCGGTCACTTTTGTGGAATATAATTTCTTTCTTTCATCAAAATCCGTGGTGTAACTACGGGGGCATGGGAGCACGTGCCTCCGTATCGTATTGCGAAAAAGTGAAGAGAAAGGGAAGGAAAAGGGAAAATGATAGACCGCCAATTTTCTACCTTCCCCTAATCAATTCCCTGCTCATCACTTCATATTTTATTTACCGAGTAAGACCGGTGCCCCCCCCCCCATGATTTAAATGCCCCCTCGGTGGCTAGAAATCTGCTACGCCACTGACCAAATTATGTGTCCTTTGTATGGCGTGAGAAAAATGGTCAAGACAACAGCTTGTCAAAATACTACAAACTGTACATTGGCTCTCTTGCT